ATCTGGTAATCAATCTTGAAACCACGAAGAAAACTGCAGCAGAGATAGAAATAAAAGTAGCAGAAGCTAAAATAACCTCGATAAAGATAGACGAAGCTCGAGAAATTTATCGTATCGTCGCGGCCAGAGCTAGTCTTTTATATTTCGTTTTAAACGATTTGTACAAAATAAATATGCTCTATCAGTTTTCTTTGAAAGCTTTCAGCGTTGTCTTCCTAAACGCTATTAAATTCGCAGAACCTTCGGAAGAAATAACTAAACGCGTGGATTTTTTAATCGATAGTATTACTTATCTAGTTTTCACTTACACAAGTAGAGGTTTATTTGAAGCTGATAAATTGACTTTCCTCACTCAAATGACTATTCAGGTACTTTTCAATGATCTATTATCAATTATCGATCTTTGTAAAAATCTTGAAATGAAAATGTAAAATTAATTTTTTTTGAATGATAATTATTATTAAATGCAATTTTGTTGTAAGCATTTCAGAATGTTTCTATTTATTTATTTATAGATTTTTATGGAAGCAAAAGAAATAACACAATCGGAACTTGATTTTCTATTAAAATTTCCACATATGATCGATTTAGTCAGCCCTGTAGATTTTTTAACAGATGTTGGCTGGGGTGGAATCAAATATTTGAGTCAAATGGATGATTTTCAAAATTTAGAAAAAGATATAGAGGGTGCTGCGAAAAGATGGAAAAAATTTGTTGAATCGGAAACACCGGAACGAGAAATTTTTCCACAAGATTGGAAAAATAAGACCGCTCTTCAGAGATTATGTATTATGAGATGTCTTAGATTAGATCGTATGACTTATGCGATCAGGTACGTTTCTTTTGTAATATTTTTTATTTGATATAAAACAACTTCTTTTTCCTTTAATTTATTCTTGTTTCATTATCTCATTGAATTTATTTAGATGTTTCGTGGAAGAAAAACTTGGTTCAAAATTTGTTGAGTCCAGATCTCCTCCTTTTCATAAATCCTTTGAAGAGACGAGTCCTATCACGCCTGTATTTTTCATTCTCTCTCCTGGTGTTGATCCTTTAAAAGTAAAATACTCGTTCTATATATACATAATATAACTATATATTTATCCAATATTATATAATAAAATAATATAATATAATATATATATTATATAATAATGAAAACAATAAAAATTCAGGACGTAGAAAATTTGGGAATACAATTAGGTTTCACTTTCGGAGGTAGAAATTTCCATAATGTATCATTGGGTCAAGGTCAAGAACCCATAGCTGAAGAAGCATTAGAATTATCGGCTCACGAAGGTCATTGGGTAATTTTACAAAATATCCATCTTGTGAAGAAATGGTTACCTGATCTGGAAAAAAAAATGGAACAATGTGCAGAGAGTCCCCATGATGATTATCGATTGTTTATTAGCGCGGAACCAAGTGCAGATCCTCACGAATCAATAATACCTCAAGTATGTATTATTATTTCAATTGAAAAATGCAATTTTAATTTTAGTTAAAATATATCACTTGTAAAATATGATTTTTATAAAAAAATAGGGTATATTGGAATCGGCCATAAAAATTACGAACGAACCACCATCAGGAATTCAAGCGAATATTCACAAAGCGTTGGATAATTTCACTCAGGAAACTCTGGAGTCTTGTAGCAAGGAAACTGAATTCAAAGCTATATTATTTGCACTTTGTTATTATCATGCCGTAGTTGCAGAACGTAGAAAATTTGGAGCACAAGGATGGAACAGAGTAAGTAACATTAATTTACTCAATCAATTATAAAGATCAAAAATTTGTTAAGTAATAATTCTATGATATTTGAAATTTATAAATTATATTTTTTAATATTTGTCTTTTAATAAATTATGTTTTAAATGATTTATCATCATTAAAAATATATTTTTTAAATAAGAAAATATATATAATTATAGATATAATTATATAAAATAATAAATTATTTTAAATAATTATTTTATTTTGACTCAGTCTTATCCATTCAATTTTGGGGATTTAACGATTAGCGTATCCGTTCTATTTAATTATTTGGAGAATAGTATTAAAGTACCTTGGGAAGATCTTCGTTATTTATTTGGAGAAATAATGTATGGCGGCCATATAACAGATGATTGGGATAGAAGACTATGTAAAACATATTTAATAGAATATCTAAAACCAGAATTAGTTGAAGGTAATTAAATTATAAATATAATTATATAAAAGTGAAGAATTATATTTTTATTTATATTATATTATATTTTTATTATTTTTATAATCATATTTTTATAATCATATTTTTATAATCAATTCTATCAATAATATTTAAAAATAATGTTTGTTCATATTTTTTTTTATTAATTTTGTTTTGAAATGTTTTATATTAATTTATTAATAACTAATTAATTATTAAGTCAAATATATGTTTTTTTCTTTTTTTATAGGCGAATTATATCTCGCACCAGATTTTTTAGTACCACCAAGTCTTGATTATCATGGATATCATGAATATGTCTATAATTTTTTACCATCTGAGAGCCCTGTTCTTTATGGACTTCATCCTAATGCGGAAATTGGTAAATATACATATGTGATATTTTATTGAATTAAAAAATAAATAACAAGAATAGATCAATAAAAATGATTTAAATAATTTTATTTAAATTAAATTCTTTTTGCTACATTTATGACTATGAAAATAAATAAAATCTATCTTGTTATATACATTTATTGATTTTTTAAATCATTTTTTCATTACATTATATATATAATATTTTTATTAGGATTTTTAACATCAACTGCGGAAAATTTATTTAAAACATTATTGGGTATGTTAACGAGAACCGTCAGTGATACAACAGTCGGAGAAATTTCAAGAGAAGAAAAAATGAAAGGACTTATAGAAGATTTATTAGATAAACTACCAGAAGAATTTAATATGCTAGAACTTTACGGCAAGGTATCTATTATTTCTATTTAGGTGAAATTTTATATTATATTATATTATATTATAAAAATAATTAAATAAGGAATTGTTATTTTTAATGAAATTTTTTTTATATATTTTAGGTGGAAGATCGCACACCGTTTGTTACTGTTGCCTTACAAGAATGCGAACGAATGAATGTATTATGTGAAGAACTTAAAAGATCTCTGCACGAGTTAGATTTAGGTTTGAAGGTAATAAAAAATTTATCATTATAAAGATTATATTATAAAATTGAAATATAATAACATTTTATTAAAAGGGAGAATTAACGATCAATCCTGAAATGGAAATTTTGCAAAATTATATAGTTATGGATGCTATTCCTCCATCTTGGGAGAAAAAAGCTTATCCTTCAGAATTAGGATTAAATAGTTGGTTTGCAGATTTGTTGAATCGAATAAGTGAATTGTCTAATTGGACTGCCGATTTTAATGTAAAATTTTCTATTATATGCAATAGTCTATTATTATTGAATCATTTAAATTTATAAGATTGATATTAATGAAATATTAATATATTATTTAAATATATACATATTATACATATTAAATATATACATATTTTCATAGTTACCATCATCAATATGGCTAGGAGGTTTTTTCAATCCTCAGTCATTGCTTACTGCAATTATGCAACAAACTGCACGCAAAAATGAATGGCCATTAGACAAAATGTGTTTATATTGTGAAGTATTGAGAAAATACAAAGAGGAAATTATGTAATTATATTATTATTTATTTATTAATCAAACATTTAATAATATTTAAATAACATTTATCGTATTAATTATTAAAAATATTTTTTTTCAACATATACATATATATTTGTATTAGATTTGTACAAATAAGAATATTGTAAACAATTCTCTAAATCAATCTTAATTTTTTATTATTAATAAAATTCTAATATATTTTCTATAAATATTTATTTAAAATATTATTTAAAATAAACAATAATAATAATTTTTGTTACAATTTTTTTTAGATCAGCACCAAGAGAAGGTGCATATATTAATGGATTATATATGGAAGGTGCACGATGGGATATGCAAGCAGGATGTATTATGGATTCTCGATTTAAAGAATTATTTCCATTATTACCAATAGTGTATATTAGAGCTATTACACAAGATAAACAAGATTTAAAAAATATGTACGAGTGTCCCGTATATAAAACACGATCACGAGGTCCAACTTATGTATGGACATTTAATTTAAGAACTAAAGAGAGGGCCAGTAAATGGATTCTTGGAGGTGTGGCAATTTTATTACAAGTTTAGTTGTATTTATGAAATAAATGTACAATTAAAAAATAAATTGATATTTTTTAAATTAAAAAAACAAAAAGACTATATTAGTTTTACATATATATTTTCTAAAATTTATATAATTTTATTTATTTCAAAAAAGAAACATATATCTGCATGATTGATATTTATTGCATTCATTTTAATTTTTTATAATAATAATTTATATTTGTATTTTGTATCGAAGAAATTGTACAATTATAAATGTGAAAATATTTTTTTTAAATATTAATGACAAGATGATCATAATTACAAGAAAATTATTTATTTGAAAAATAAGAAATATTTTTTACATTAAAAATTTTCGTCAATCATCTTTATCTTCTCTTGAATCCATACTTTTTCCTCTCATAAAATAGATCAGTCTTTGAACTTCCGAGATTTACGATTTTTGGACAACCATCTCTCTATAAGAAATCAAATTTAGTGAATTTTTATTATATTTGTTATTATTATTTACATTTATTATTATGCATGAAAAAAAATTAACAATTTGATATAATAAAAATTAAATATTCTTTTAAAAAAAACATTCTTTTTATAAATTGCTATTGCTATAACTAGTATAGTAATATAATTAGTAATATAATTATAATATAATTAGTAATACAAGTTACATTACATCTTTTTCTTGAATTGTGCATTCTTTGCAATAATAAGCATCAGAAACACCAGGTCCACCACAAATAACACATCGGCCTTGATAAGATCCATAATTGCATTCATCACAAATTCTAACCAGAGTACATGGTCTTACATAGGAATCACAAATTACACATTTACCATCGCATTTTTCACATAATCTTCCTATTGCTAAAAATAAAGTCAATTTTTATTATCAATTATATTACACATTTCCTTAAATAATAAATATAATATTAAAAATTTGTCATTTTATTTATCATTATTTAATGATGTAATATAAAATATAATATAAAATTCAACAAAAAATAAAATAAACTTTACAAACATCAAAAAGTTTCTTTAATATTATTTTTAATTAAATAATTTACAGAGATTAATTATTTAGAATATAAAAAATTTTTAAAAAAGAAAAATACTTCTTAACTTATAAAGTTTCTTCTTATTTTTTAAAATAATCAAAACAATATATTACTTTTGTTATTTAAATGATCATTATTAAATTTAATAATATTTATTTGGAACATTTTTCCACAATTAAGAGTTATAGTAAAGAATATAAAGGAAACTTCTAGGAAGTGTTAAAAGATATCAAAAGGATATGTTTTTTATTTCAAAAATTCTTTTATTAAATATTTATAAAATTGCTCTCTCTCTCTCTCTCTCTTTCTTTGTGTGTCTAAATACAAATAAAACATATATTTTTATATAATAATATAATTACAAATACTTGAGAAGATCAGTGAAAATATGAATTTGCAGCTGGTAAATTTTCTTCATATCCTCTTTGTAGTAGATTTTCTTGATATATATTCTTCACTATAACTCTTTAACTATGCAGAATAAAAAAAAAATATTTAATGTTAATAGAAATATTATTAAACTTAAACTTAACAAGTGGATCTTCAAAAATTTTGTTATATTTGCAGTTTCGGATAAGTGAGTTTAATAATATTTTTTATCTATATGTAAAATTTATAAAAAAATCGTAAAAAAAACTTATTACTTATATAATTATTAATAAATTGATTAATATCATATAATTATAACCTAAAATTAAAAATTACAATCTAACCTAATATAAATGTAAATCTTACCAACTCCCGGTTGTTTTCTACAGAAAATTAAATCTGGGTGATGTTTTGCCATATTACAAAAAAAACAGACTTATATTTCGAATAACACACAAAATAAACTATTGCAAATTTTTATATAAATCAACACATGAAAATCTTCAATTTTGTTTACTTTTTATGGTTCCTTTTAAAGTGACGATACTTTGATCAATTCATGATACATGAGAATGATTTTTTCAAAATAGTATTAAAAATATTTGATTAAATATTGAAATTTATATTTTAATTTATATTTTATAAAAAAAATTTATATATATTTTA